ATTCAGCATCTCAGAGGATGAATGAAAAAGAATGGAAGCCCTCAGTGAGGAACGCACGCCAGCTACAAACTGTGTACACATGCAAGATGAACTTGTGAACACACGTCCAACTTGGCAGATCTATAAAGATTATGTATTTATAACATGCTCCTGAAACATCTTACCAAATGAACAAATGACTTTGATTTAAAATTAGGCTTTTAAGAATTTTAAAAAACTTTTCCAGTACTATCTACCAAAAAAGCATAGGTGACTTCCTGGAGATAGTATTCTCCACACACTAAAGCCTGTGTGTCTGAAATGTTGCCCCCAAAAGCAACCTTTTCACTTCCTCCTTGCCTCGAAACAATTGAAGCAGCTGGGAGCTGGAGTTCCACTTTATTAGTGATTTAAAACACACCCTTGGAAACTAGCTGGCTTGCTTTTTTTTTTTCTTTTTTTTTTTTTTCTATCCAGGTGGGAAGCTTGCTCCCTCTAATGGGAACAATACTTAAGAAACTTCTCAAACAGATAATACCTTAAGAGCTAGTCTTCAGAAATATCTTCTACCAGCCATCTATCCGACAAAAGCAATGGTAACCTGGTAGGAATACTAAGCCTTCCATATAAAGACATCGATAAAATAATTCAGCCGCCAAGATTTGGCATCTTTAAAAATGCCTTTTCAATCTTTATAACTTTTGTCTGCTTGGTCGTCTAGCAACCAAGTGCCGAAAAGAAACTCCACCCAAAACAAAGTGAAACAATACACTTAACTTCACGAGTGTGTATGCATGCACGTGTGTGTGTGTATGTGTGTGTGTGTAAGATTCTCAACATGCAAAGACAGAAACGCATTTTGAGACAATTAAAACAGAAAAAGTCTCAATTGTAGATGTCAGAAAAGGAAGTCAGGAGTGAGTAAAAAGCCATGAGAAAATGTGTAATGCAGGATGAGGGTATAGTTTCCACACACCGGGCTAAAGCAAGGTTTACACTCTTAAGCAATAAAAACAAACCATTAAGCTGGGCCCAGCACTGTCAGGAAGTATAAAACAGTTCTTGAAACTTTGCAGTTACTATACAAAAGCTTTTCATAAACTCTGTTTCCTGATCTTCATTAAACGTTAACATCAAGTTGCCATGGGGCAATTAGCTTGCCTCCTGAAATCAATAAAAAATCAACAATTTGGAAATAGTTGTACAGTAAAATAGTTCAATAATTATTCTCCCATAGTGTTGTGGCCAAGCGGTTCCAGTGTAAATGCAGTCCAGATGAGATCCTGCTCCTTAAGAGGGAGGCTTTAAGCAGATCGGTGGTTTGCTTAGAGACCTCCTCATCAGAATGGACTGCAACAATAATGTACTCCTGGCAATGCTCGGAGTGGGAACCAGGGCACGGGGCAAACACAAACCTTTAAGCGGTGTTCAAGTCAGCATCTTGCCTAGCAGTGCTTAAGCACCTCAGAGGGACTCAATGCAAAATTCAGAGACCTATGTAAAATGATAAGCTCAGTAAAAAAAGAAGGCGCCCTATGCTTGGCATTTGGACTCCAGACGGGAACAAATCATTATATATGTATGGATAAATTCACAGACACACACACACATATATGCATATAATGTATCTACGTACGCACAACAAGGAGTGCATTTGTGATTAGGAATTCATTCATTCTAAGAGGTCTTCAACAAATATTCAAATCTGAATTACTCGTGGGATACCTTCCAAGGACTCCTTAAAATAAAATGAGGCTGCTACCTAGACGACCCTCACAGGACGTTTTACTGAACAAAGAGGTGCTAGCACCAAGCAAGGGCAGAAAGTTATTTCTCTGCTGACTCCCCGTCTCAGGGGGAAATTAATTCCTGTTGTTTTTTCTAGCTTGAGCCCATTTTAAACACCTTATTTGAAGCCAACTGCAGCATTGAAAATTCCAATATCCATTAAATCAAACCTCAAATACCAGCTTTGGAAGCTTTATACCACCCTGTAGGCTCAATGGTGTTGAACAGTGAACTGCCTTAGAACTTAAAAAAAAATCAAGCATCATATTTAGTATAAACAAATGCTTCAAATGTATGACATCTATTTGCTGCCTTCAAAGGGAAAAGTTTTAACTCAGACGCTTGGCACTAAGATCACACAGGATCAGCTCAGTGGACTGACTTAAGTGTTAAACTTTTTTAAAGTACGTTTTTAAGGGCTTGCACCTGCTCCCCCATCCACATAGATGTACTGACACGTATTTGACTAAACTGACTATGTACATGCCCAAGCAAGCAAGCGGAGCAGATTTTACAAGATAAGCAACCAAGTGTTTTCATGTCTGAGGGTGGCTAGAACACAAAATTGCCAGTCATCTTGTTGGGGGAAAGAATGCCCTTGGCAAAAAAAAAATGTAGGGCATCATTTCAGATATAGTGAAAAGTATTAAGATGCCATCCTGTATGCAGGTTTGGTTTTTGTTGGTTTTTTTTTTTTTTCCTTTAAGTACTGCTTCTTAGAGAGGGGCCTAAACTTGGTCCAAATTCTGCAGTAACGACGAAGCTATTCATTAGCGCCTTGGTACTCAAACTGTGGTCCTTTGGCCTATAAGGGCTTCACCTGGGAGCTTGTTAGAAATGCAGGATCTCAGGCCCCACTCCAGACTCACTGAAACAGAATCTATAATAGAACATGATCCCAGGAGGTCTGTACACACATTAAAGTTTTATTCTTCTCACAGATTTCCTGGTGATTCGGATGCACATTAAAATCAAAGTTTTATTTAGAGCAATGATCCCCTAAGTTAGGTAGATGTTTACTTTGAAGTTTGCAGGGCAGGGAAATGGTCAGAAAATTCTGCCCTGGAGAATACCAAAAGGCTGTAATTTATGTCAGCAGGGTGGAGGAAAGAGGAAAAGCAATTTACCCAAGCGGAGAAGGCTTGCATCTTATCCCGCATTTCACCCTACCTGTCCCCTGCAAAAAAAAAATCAAACAGAAAAGAAATGGCACCAGGAGATTCTTTCTTTGGATTGTGAATCTATGCCACAGTTACTATAGGTGTTAATTGTTCTTGATTGCGCGGCTGTGTTCCTTTTGCCTTAGAGCAGATCAGGAGGCTGTGGTATGCGAACATTCAGTGAATCCCTATCGTAACATTAATATGACAGTAAAAAAGAAATATGCTATTTTTTAAAGCCCTTTGAATTGTGCACATAATTTTCCCTCTCCAGTAAAAAACTGAGAGAAAAAATGGATTGCTTAGTAATCTAGTGATTCTATAACCTGTCATATAGACCAGGTTTACAGGTCATCTCTCCATTCTTGGCCTCTTAAGGTACCATTTAAAGCAGCAACTGAAGTAGGAATTATGAAAAGACGGAAGCACAGATAGATCTGTTAGCTGCCCACCCTCCCTCTTCCCCATTTTTGAAGGCAAATAATGAACATGGTAACCTGGACGTGCCATGCAGGTTAAAGCCACACCAGAGAGGCACACACAGTCGAGACAAGCACAAAAACAGATGGTCAATTGAATCTATTTTGAAAGGTGGGCCCCCTAAAATTCAGAAATGACTATGTGTTGACTTTTTAAAGACAACTCTGAAATGATTCAAAGGATTCTAGAGAATAATGACTGAAATTAAAGACGTTCAGTGTTATGTTCATTATGACTCTTTATTCCTCAGAATGAAGAATGTGAGCTAAAATGTCTGTAACAACATAGAATGTTTGTAAAAATATTGTTTCTCACGTGAGCTGCCAAGAGGGTCAGAGTCTCTGATTATAAAATCTCTGAAACTAAACTGAAAACGCCAGCATCTATACATATGTAATATATATTACATACATCTTTATATGTATATTTATGTATTTTATGTTTTATATATTAAGTACATATATGCAAGATAACACACTTTAGTTGATATCACTGAAAACAGTTTTAACTAAGAAAATTAGAACCAATGAAGCAGAGAAATCAGAAAGGTGGATGGAACTGCTGAAGGATGAAATTCTTGTGCTATATCCTCATGCTCTCATCTAGAGAACGTGAAGATGAGAAAACATGGGTTATTAGTTTTAACGTGTTAAGACTGTGCAGTCTGTGCTTCATGTCTATGGCAAGACAGGGTGAAGAACAGCTGGAGAACAAAGAAGACCCCACTCTCCTTAGTTGGTTCTAATCTAATGGTTCTCATCTAATCAAGAACAACAGAACTAGACATAAAAAGAAGCCAAAAGATTGTAACAGTTAACCAGTATTAGTAAAAGATAACTATGGTGCACATTTAAAGATAGGGTTTACATAACCTCATAACCTCCAAAATGTAACTAAGCTCATGGTCATCAAAAGTTAATTCCTAGGAAGAATTTGATTATAACAATCTGTTCCATTATAAACACACAGTTTTTTAGCCAATTCCAAGGAGATTAGAAGTAGGTTTCACCAATCATGCATGGCAGGATCAGAGGGGATGCAAAGTCTTAGAAACTGACCTAAAGTACTGCCAGTAAAAGTAGTTGTGGGTGCTCTGCTCTTGCAAACATCTGCTGAACCCTTCACTGGGTCTGATTCTAACCCGGAGTACAGAAGCCCTGACACACTGCTAAGTGTTCCTTCTGAGCAGCCTAATTTGACTTCATTCTGTTTGGGCGTCAGTCCAATTGGCAAATGTTCTTATAGAAGCTGATCTCAGACACTTTCCCTTTCTAATTTTTTGGCACCCTTGCCTCTGTTGCATGGGATATTATCTCCGAAACTTTATCTCGGGTTATCCAGGTTTTGCTTGTTTTGTAGGCTTTAGTTTTCCCTTAAATCTTTCTTCCCCAAAGAAGTTCATTTGAAAAATACTAAATCACTGGTAGCACCTTTGGTGCAAATATGACTTGTCAAATAACTTGCCTGCAATTTTCCAGCCATTCTTTACCTTTCCCCCCACCCCCTCTAAAATATATAACCAGAAACAAAAATGCAAACACAAGGTCATCATTGTGGGTGCTATACAAATGCACCATTTTCTTTCACAGGTTAGACTTTATAGAAAGAAATGTCAGAGCTTTGATATTTATTATCTGAAATAGGTTTAACATTTGGAGAAATGTGTTCAAACACACAACCTTGGAAAGAAAAGCAAGCTGAGAGTTACGAGAACAGAGGGTGGGCAGAAAACACGATGTGCATAATTTTGCTGCATGTTGGGCAAAAAGTTGGAAAATTGGGTTCTTTGGAGAATAGAGAGCTCTCAGATGAGGTAAAGGTAACATACAAATAAATTTCCAACTCTTGATCAGGGCCACGAGATATCAATTTTGAATATACATGACTACAATATCAATAATGAAGAAACCTTATGTTTTATTGAATACTTGGGCCAGATCAGCCCCTCTGAAGGGATCGCTAGGAAAGAAGAACAACAAACCCTCATTCACTTTCCTGCAGGTTCATCATTTTCCTAATTATTCCTATGGATTCTGCTTTATTCTTTCTGCAAATGAAGGGGCAGGAGGAGAGTTTCTATAATAGATCAGCAATGTCTGGTTCTTATCCAAATATTCAACCTAATAAGGATGTAAATTCTCATGGTTTGGACAACCACTCTGCAACATTCCTGAGAATTGAATAATATAATAATCTTGAAAGTCAGCAGAGTGGATTATCCACTTTTTTTTCTGGACTTGAACTTGTGAACTTAACAGTAGCGCTGCAAAAAAGCAAATGTGCTAAGCACTTTGCTAGAGTAACCTTCCATGTAGACTTTTCATCTTAAATACACACAACTGAAAACAACTACAATTTTTGGAAAATTATGTACAAACCCGATACTTCTTTTGATTACATATAAATACAAATTAGCTATTTTTTTTCCTAAAAAGTGGTTATAATAGTAAATAAATACAAAATAAATCTGACCATTATACTTCATGTGCTGGGGTTGAACCCATATAAAATGTACAACTAAATACATTTTAAATCTTTAAGGAATAATTCTCTGATTAAAATATTTGTTTTCCCAACTTCTTTTCGTAGATATAAATATATTTTCAAAATAGTTGTTTTTTTTTTTCCATTCCATAAATAAAGTCTTCATTGGGAAATATTAAAGTGTCAACTGGGGTGGGTTTTTGTTTGTTTGTTTTTTTCTTTTTTCTAAAATATATATATATTTATTTAATTAATTAATTTTGCTGTACTAGCGACACCCACAACCCTCCACAACCATGTCCTGATAGTTCTTTAATACAACCTTTTCATTTTCGTCAAGGTACAGCATCGAGATAGCACTGAGTTCTGTTGGGACACAGCACGCCTTAGGAATCTTAGAGTTCACAGAGTTGACCAACGTCTGAACAATGGCGTGATTAGTGGAGTTCAGATGATCAGCCAGAGGAAAAGGGCATTCTCCGTGGCAGTAAAAGGCATGATACCCTGGGGGAGCCACAATCCAGTCATTCCACCCCACGTCACTGAAGTCCACGTACAAAGGGTGTCTCTTACAGCTGGACTTGAGGCGTTTCCGCTGTTTGTGCTTTGCTTGACGTTTCTCTCTTTTGTGGAGAGGATGCCCTTTCCCATCATGGCCAAAAGTTACTAGCAATGGCCTTATCTGTGACCAGCTGTGTTCATCTTGGTGCAAAGACCTGCTTATCCTAACATGTCTCTTGGAGACACCTTGTTCCTCCTCCAAGTGGGTCACCTCCACCACGAATCCATGGTTGGCATGTCCCTGTGCAGTCCACCGCATCACAGCGGGGGTGACGTCAAAACTTTCCCACCTGCTTGCATTCTCATTCACCAACCTGGTGTCCAAAAGTCTGGTCACGGGGAATTTTGAGTTGGCTGTTGCAGGTTTTATGATTTCATAAATATTAATTCGGTGATGGAAACTGCTATTGTTTCCTAAAGCTTCTTGCATCTGTTCTCGAAAAACCTGAAGCTCTGCTGAGGTGATGAACTCCTCCGTGGGGATAGAACTCAAATTAAAGAAGAATCGCCGGGTTGTTTTCCCACTGGTTTCTGGTAGTTCTTCCACCGATTCTAATTTGATAAAGGAAAGCAAGGAAGAAAGAAGAAAAAGTCTTTCAGTAAGCCAAGTAATGGCATTTGATTATGACAATTTTTAAACCTCATTGTGGGATTTGATTTAGCCCATGTAAAAGTAGGTAACCCGAAAATAAAAATTTCCTCTTTAAATAAAAATGGAGCCTCTCTTCTCTCTGTTCTCTAAGTTCATGTCATCGTGCAACGCATACCATGAAACAACATTTCATAATTCTTTGTTGTAATTTTGATCTAATACATGAATACTGCTTCCAGGTGGCTATAATAATGGGGGAAATGGTGAAGCATTTCTTTGGAATTCCAGACTTTAGAGGGGGAAAAAAGTCAGCACTATAGTTAGTAGAGGTCTAATGAGTAAGGATTTGAGGAAATTATTGCATTTCTTTTTAAAAAAAGGCTTTAATGTCAATCCCTTAAGCAGTATTCTAAAACATTACTCTGCAATTTAGATGATTTACAAATCTCGATATACAGATTTCAGCTTCCTAATTAAAGACTCTGAAACTCAACATCAACGATGACATTTCACAAAGCACACCCTACTATTTTACTCAAAAGTCCAGAGACAAAGGCATTTACAGGGATCTACTTCTTTGGAAACGTATAGGTGGTACTAGGACACTGTAGTAATTAAGGCCAAACAATTTCAAGAGAAATAGCTTTCCCAACTGTTGCCTGTTCTCTCACCTCTTTATGACCTCAAAAATCAAAATCTCATTTTAGGTGCTTTTGGAAGAAAAATAAATGACTTGTGTTCTGTTTGTAATGCCTTTATAGTTTTAAAAGATAAACCGTATTAAAAATATTATAACTGCCTGGTAGTTATAAAGGCTGCAGATGGACAGAAAACAAAACAAAAAAAATTACAAAAATCCTATTATGATCTATATGACAAAAGGAACAATCTCATCAATAATCCTTCTATACCCACTACCATTATTTCAAAATAGCCATTTAAATGGGCTATGCATAAAAGTTTTGTTTGATTTTAAATTTCTGAATTTCAATTTTTAGGAAGTATTGTTCTCCAAACAAATAATATATAACACAGCCCCTTGAATGCTTGTAGTCTGCAAATCATCAAAGGTATGACATTGTTATTAAATTGATAGTATATACCATGAGAGTTTGAGATATTTGGGTTTATTTTATTCTAACTTTACCACATCCTATCATTTCACTGCCAAAAGAATTTGCCTGCTTCACTCAGAATTCCTACACAAGTGCTAACAAAATCTATTTTGCCATAGTTCCATGTTATTGTAAGAAGAGACTATGTTTTTATTAATTTTATGGTTGTATTTCCCTAAAGACAAACAGCTATAAGTTGTGCACTGAATCTAGATGCCTTAGCAAAGGAGAATCATGTCACATCACTCACTCAAAGGATTGACCTGTGCAACCTTCCATCATCAAAGCAACAGTCATTATGCAAGCTAAATGGACATACCAAGTTCAGTGGGGCAGTTACCAAACTATGGAGTAACACTTTAATGCAATGCTTTTCAAACTTCAACCTTCACATAAAACAACTTGTACACCATAAAGCTTCAGATGCAGGCTCTGATTCAATAGGTTTGGGACGACGCCTGAGATTCAGCATTTCTAGCAGCTCCTCGAGGAGGGGATTTATGAACTGGGAGACCACACTTGGAGTGTCAAGGTTTTGCAGGATGTTTTTCATAGTCAAGTGTAGATTGCCAGAGGAGTGCATTTTAAAGGAGTGCCTTTTTGTTAAATATAAAAATTAGTAGAAGAACCATTAGTGGTGGCAAAGAAATAAAAGTGGGCCTGAGTGGGCCCAGCCAGGGTCTCAGAACAGAAGTTTCTTCTAAAGCTCTTCTACATGGATATGGAGACTATCAGGCCAATAGAGTCCTTTAGGGTTTCCTTGAGCCTCTGAATCCAAACCTATAGGGAATACCTTTCAGAAGCCAGCCACATTCCAAACTCCACCTGAAGCTAATGGTAGCTAATGGAAGCTAATGTGCCTAAAGGCCAGGCACAATCATTAAAATAACCTTCTAACCATTCGGACCTGGGCTCTTCTCATTGGCTCCCAACGAGTACCAAGAATTGTGGTTAGCCTCTTTTATTTCCTCCTTCGCCTTGCAATACAGATGTTTCTGATGAAAGTAATTTTTCAGCAGAGAAGGTAAAAGTAACCTCAGACCCCCAGGACACCAGAGCCAAGCCAGCACCTGAGCTACTTACTTCCCTGGTACGAATCTACTTAAGAACACCCTCTTTTCTTTCAAAGAGAGGGAAGGCAAGGAAAATTATCTAGAGCATTCACTGACTAGCTGGATTAACAAAAGTGCTTAGAGAAATCACAATTGCAAGAAAACCCTAAATCCGAATCCATAAATAAACATATTCTCACACACTGTCTCTCTTACACATACACACCCACACGGGCCAGACAATGACAATGAAGGAACAATCTCCAAGGCCACCATGAGGGACAGGTAAATGAAGGAAAGAAGATGGGTATACGAAAGGTATAAAGTAAAATAATAACCTTCAAAAATATTAAAAGACAAGAATGAATCATATAAATTTGCCACTATTTGACCAGAAACACAGCAGCAATTTCATACGGTCCCAAGTCTCAGTGGAAGTATGTAGCCTTAGCAAAAGAGAATCACTCAGTGGCCTTAAGAAAGGAGAAAAATACACTATCAAATAATAAGAGGTGATCTGAAGATCTTTCTCTGACCTTCCAACTGCGCCTCAGTGAATCTATTCCTTGAAAGATGCCATCCTCAATACAAAGGCATCCATTGCAACACACCTGATTGCAGACTCAGGTCACAGAGATAAGTTAGAAGTTCACAGAAACCCTCACACCCAGGAAAATCATTGCCCGAGGTGAGGGACTATACCATCTTTTTTTTTTTAATCTGCCAGGGAAGAGTATGAATCTTTTCTTAAGGGTAGAAAAATTAAAATCTATTTGAAATAAAGTAAGTAAATAAACAAACTTTCTATAAATTATCACAGCAACCCTGAAGATGCCAAAAATACATAGATTCTCAAGTAATGTATGCTTTATTGGAGACTTATACAATTGCTAGTTTTCTGTAAATATCCCTTCCTGAATAAGCTGAAGTTCTTAAGGGATTTGAGGATTACGACCTATCTTTGACCCAAGTTTGTGAGCTCCTAAGTTCTTAACCAAATGGATGGAGCTACGGCTGCAAAAATGTGGGAAAGTGAAGAAAAATAAGACAACAATAACATTTGCCCTCTCCTCCAAAAGTGAAGTCCTAATTTAGTCATCTGTGCTATTTCAATCATTCATCTACCTTAAAATAATTCAAAAGACTGAGCTGAATTCTCCCAGCCAGCCTACGTCCACTCTAGCCTCATTTTCCCTAGAGAAGACTATAACAGTAACAAAATAAGTCATAATGATAATGATACCTGAATGCTTTTTTGAATGCAATCTGGTACTATCAGCTTTATATGAATTATCTCACAACAAACCACCTAGAGAAAAACTATCATTATCTCCATTTTGTAAATGAAACTGTTGGAGTTCAGAGACGTTTTATAACTTTCCTAAGGTCACAGAACTAGCAAATTAAGAGCAGATATATGTAACTGAATCTACTGCAGTTCCCCAGTTTCTTTTCTTTTTTTCTTTTTTTTTTTTTTGCGACCGAGTCTCGCTCTGTTGCCCAGGCTGGAGTACAGTGGCACAAAGGCTGGAGTGCAGTGGCACAATCTCAGCTCACTGCAACCTCCACCTCCCAGGTTCAAGCAATCCTCCCACCTCAGCCTCCCAAGTAGCTCGGATTAAAGGCATGTGCCATCATGCCTGGCTATTTTTTTATATTTTAGTAGAGACTGTGTTTCACCATGTTGGCCAGGCTGGTCTGGAACTCCTGACCTCAAGTGATTTGCCTATGTAGGCCTCCCAAAGTGCTGGGATTACAGGGAAGAGCCACCATGCCCGGCCAGTTCGCAAATTTCTGGCTACCTAACATACATGAGGACTCGAAAACTTGTAAGTCAAAATCATTAGGGGAATATTTATATTTAGTACAATGATAACATTGGGTGAGTTCTGTCCCAGCTAAAGAAACAGAAACATATGACTTAGGGATGATGGAGAAAACAGAAATGAGCAGAAAAGTGATGGGGCCTACTGGAAGATGTAGATTTTATATGGAGCCACTGCTATTTTGTGGCTGCTCTTTTGTTCTAAGTGAAGTATGGTAAGCGTTATCAAAAAAGTAAGTTCCCATTTTGCTTTGAGAATTTTAAAACACACTTTGGACTAAAAACATCTCCATTAAAACAATGACAACGACAACAAAACCTGGGGACGTGCTGGCAAATCAGTAAGGCTAGGAGTCGCTGCCCTAACACAAAATGAAGGTGGCTGAGTGAAACAGACAAGATTTTCCAGAAATGAAATAACAGAGAACTGATCAAAGAGAAAACAATATCAAATACAAAAGGTTAAAAATAATCCATTTTTTTTAAAAGACAACAAAGGAAATGGCAATTTGAAGGAACGGACAGCATGGTTGTCATCAACAACCCTGATTTGGCCTTTGCCCACCCTTAGCACCAACACCTTTGGAATGATCAGGTATTCTCTTATTGTCTCAGTGAAAATTCAGACAGAGCAAGTCTAAGAAGACAAATGAGTCACTGCAAAGGGATGGAGAGAGGTTTAGGGGAACCACTAAAAAAGAGGTGGAACAGAAAATGTCAGTGCCAAGGAAGGATCATGGGACACCAAAGCCTCAATCTCAACAACCATTTTGAAATAGAGTAACTTTCCTACTTAAAGCAGCCTCTGTAATGACAATGAAATACCTGGGGCCACTAGGGGACCATACCATGTAAGCACTGGTTTTGGTGGATCTATGTGTCCAAATCTGTCGTTTGTACTGGGAATTTGGGCCACAAAGTCCTTATCATGGGGCAATAGTTATTTCTTGAACTTTTCTATTATATGAATATCTTCATAATAATTATATTTGTGGAAAGGTTAATCTCTATTTGAAAGCTTCAGTCATAGAGGCAAATCATTCAGTTATTTCATGTAAAAAGAAGACTGTGTCCTTCAGAGTGAGGAGAACAAGCACCTGGTCTTTCTATATTCCCATCTGGCAAAAAGCATAAAGACTTTTTGGAGGGGCAGTGAAGTCAACCAGTTTCAATGTGTTTCCAACTACAGCAATGCATAAAACACTCTTTCCACTTGGAGAAGTGACTTTTCTATGTTCGGTGGCAATTCTGGAAGGTCCATGTAGCTGAAGCACTTTTTAATGGCCTTGAAAACAGTAACATTTTAGTGAAGCTTATATTCTCCCAAATAAAAGCCTTTGGAGAAAGGACTAGACAAAGTTCAGTAGGAAAAATACAACTGATAATTCGGACTCAGATCCTCTATGATATGGTCCCATGATACTCATATTGGTTGAAAGAACTCCATCATGATGTCTCTTGTCTAGTAATGCCACCAAACCATCCGATCACACCCTCAAAGAAAACCCAACAGGTAATTCTTATGGTTGGGTCTTTATGGTCTTTTATCAAATACATGCTCATTAATGCTGTAGAAACTAAATTCGGTTCTCAAGCCAGCAATCTTAATCACATGGTTTATTAAAAAATTTTTTAGTGGCATGCATGGCACAAGGATGTTTATAAAAAGCAAATCCTGGGTTTATACAACAGTGATTAGTCTTGAAAAAAGTGCTATCTCCATCCAGCCTAATGATGATATATTAGTCATAACTAGACAAGAAATGGGTTAGTTGAAACTTGGGGCAAAATTACATAGCTTTTCTCCATTATCTAACTGCATTAAGACCTGAAGTTATTACAAGTTGATTTTAATCAAGTGGGTAACTTCTGTACTGTTTTGCAGATAACATTTACACTCACAGAAGAATAAATTCTGACTTTATAAACTCAAACATGCTTTATAAGTTAAAGTAACACAGTTGAATAATGTGTAGCCTGCTTAGTTTTGATCAAGCCACTTAAAGAGCAATGATGAGACTATGCAGACATTACTGATAAAAATCCTCACACAATCGAATGTTTTACTTGTTAACTAACTTAAACGATGATCTTCCTTTGAAGTTATAACAGAGACACAGCATCTTCCTGGCCTTAAAAATAAAGTTAAGAACTTCCATGCTAAATTTCCACAAGAGGTGTCTAAAACAGCTGTTCTGACTATATTTCTATACTCAAACAACAAACAAACAAAACTATTCTAATCAGCATTTACTGGGAATGATTAGCTGGATCTATAATAATTTCAGGGCTAAGAGGGCAGAATACACACCCCCCCCACACACACAAATTTTACACATGACAACAGATGACTTCTGCTTTCACTGGATGAATTCTGAAAGAGCGGAGTGAGTTCTTACCGCCTTTCAAATCTGATTTCTAGCTAGCAGAAATGTGCTTGAAAATGAACTGATGATCAATTCAGTATCCCCGCCATGATGTAGAGCTGCCTCAATGATAATGTATCTTCTGCTATGTGGCCTGCCTTTGGGACTTATTTCCATTACCAACAAATGTTCTCACAAGCATAAGTCATTCTTCACACTGGGAGAAAACATCTGGCTGTGCCATTTCTGATTAGTCTATTATCGGTGTAGATTTCCCACCTGAAACTTACCACCTAAGCAGGGAAAGGCAAGAAAGAGAGCTTCACTCCCAACTCCCCAAATATCCTTCATTGCTCTGTGATGTACAACTTTGTACTCTTTTCTGGGATTTGAAGAAACCCATGCTCTATTTTAAATGTATTAAGCCAAAGAAGCATCTAAAAGTGTAGAAAAAGAATTGGAGTGGAACATATTTTTGACTAATTGCTCTAAGAACTTAGGTACAGAGGCTCTCAATAGCCGCTGTAAGACATTCCCACTCGACAAAATGCCCTTCTGATGAAACAAGCAGATATATCCCACCTTAGAAAAACCACATGTAGTATCATAAAAGAAAAAAAAAATCCACATTTCAGTGCACATTAAAAAAAAAAACAGGCAGCTGCTACAAATGCTTTTATCTGAAGGCTTGCCTTGTCTCTACTCAGGGCCTATCTCAGATTTAAGCACAGGACAAGAAAGCCATTGTGGAAACAATAAGATTGATTGTAGAATTGATCTCCCACGGGGATTAGATCGGGATTCAAAATCTTCCAAACCAGGCCCAGATCAACTATAAATTAGAAAGACTTTGGGCTTTGATTTTTCAATACTATCTCTGCAAACTCTGTCCTTGGCTCTGTCTAGCCTGAAACCCTGGCTTAAGCAGCAGATTTATAGAGCAAAAGCTTCCAAACAGACTTAAAGAAATGTCAATCTGCCTCCCTTTTTCTCCTTTTCTCTCTGTGGAATTCTTGCACGTTTAGCTGACTAGGGGCATGCCTTTTGCCCTCATCTTCCCCATCACTTGATTTCTCTCCAGTTCCTGGGAGGAGGAACTCTTCTGGCCGCAAGCCAGGGAAGAGGGTGGCGGAGTTACTCAAGGGGAATCCCTGGCTCCCCCACCACACAAGCGATGAGTTACAATGAGTTAAAATCAGGTTCAGAAACGATGGTACAGAAGCCTGAGTGGAAACGTTCCCCGGTGCCCTGGCCAAGCTGCCTCTGCAGGGATGGCTGCAGTCTGCCCTGGGTGGAGGGCTTCGCAGGGTAACTCCCCGCCCCCACGCCCTGCTCCGCGCCTCACCTTCATGGTGGAAGCTTCGCACAGTGTTGGCTCGGCTGGCTGCCCTCTCCAGCCGGTGGTCTGGGGCGGGTGCGCCCGGCTGACCCGAGTGCCTGCGATACAGCTCTAGCATGTAGGGGGGCACCACGGCGTCCCTGCTGGGGGTGGGTCTCTGCTTCAGGCCGAACATGCTGAGCAGCCGCAATTCGAACTCGCTCAGGACCTCGTCGGAGGGCTGGGACGAGGGGCGGCCCGACGACGACGCCGCGAACTTCCTGCGGCCCAGCTCCGGAACGAGGCCGGCCGCGCCGCCCAGGAGGACCTGGGGAAGCAGCAACGCTAGAAGACAGCGGGTCCCGGCCACCATGGTCGACCTGCAGACAGGACCGACGTGAGTCACCCCGAGTTCCCCGCCCAGTCCTCCCCCCTCGCGCCCCCGCGGCCCCGGCTCCCGTTTGGCAAACTTGACTCCTCCAGGGTGCCCTCCTGGCTTGGCACACTCGCGAGTGTACGTAAGACCGACCAAGGCTCAAATGTTTGGGATAATGAAAGGTCCCAAGTTCCAGGACCAGATGAGTTCTCGCTCCCATCCAACTCTTAACTCGTCTGACATCAGATCTGGGGTTTGCCCTCCCCTCCCAACCAAACCAGCTGCAATGATGGTCACCTTTTTGTTGTGACACAGCGCTGACAGTCAGTGCAGGGAACCTGGGAGAACCACCGCTTGGTCTGACACCCTGCGTCCCCTATACAAACCCAAATGCATAGTGCTCAGCGCTCTCTGGCATATAAACACATGCAAATGGTGCATGTGATTTCCTTAGAGGCGCTGTATAGAACTTCCTCATACACACACACACACACACACACACTCACACACACACACACACACACAGCCTATAACTTCCAGACCCTGTAAGCTCAAGGCCACAACTTCCAAAGCCACTTAAAACTTGTGGCCCAGGTCCCTACCCTCAGGGGTGTCTGGAGAGGCCACTCAATCCCGCATCCCCATAGTACAGGTAAGACACACATGTATCTTCCTGGGATTACGTAAATGGCGAATATCTATTAATGCACGTGTCAGCTGTTAAAAACACAGTACCAAGCGATCCTTCAGTACCGACTGCTCGCATTTCTGGAAACGAGTAGGGAGAATCCCAACTCCTAGTACTTTCCTAAATGGGACATGGCTCTGTGTAAAGAAACCAAGTCTCTCAGCCACACTTGAAGAAGGGAGATCACCACGGCAGGGTGGACAGGTTCTCAGCTAACGGGTGAAAGCCAGGGGCTACCCTCTCAAAGGGATTTCCTTGACCCTTGACTCTTAAAAAAAATTCATTTAAGTGTTAACAGCTTCACAAGTATTCGGGGGAGAGGGGAAAGAAGAGGGGTGGAAGAGTGCGGGCTGGGAGGGTGAGGCTGATGGTCTCCCGGGGCAGCTTGAAGGGGGCACCCCCACAGGGCTCCGGTGCACGTGGACCTGGAGAGGGGTCTGTTTACTTCTGGCCTGGACATAAGGAAGGGCTCTGCCGCAGTGACTGCCCAGATCCCCCTCCCACCCACCCCCACCCCGGCCCCTGGCTAGCGTCCTCTACCTTTAGGAGACCGCAGTCCGTCTAAGAAGCACGCGGGGACACGTCCATTGAAAGAGCGTCCACATGGAAAAACTCTGGTCGAAGGAGCTGGCGCAAGGACCGAATGTCCGTTCCTTTTCTTTGCCTCCTCCTTCTCCCGGATGCCGGCCGCGCAGTCTCTCTTTTCACGCTGGGAACAGCGTCCCAGGGTCCGGCAAGGCGGAGGAGTGGAGGGGCGGTGGGGCTCGGAGGTGGCGGTGGCGAGGCAGGATCCGCTGGGGCAAAGGCACCGGCGCAAAGTGGGGAGCGCAAGTTATTCTCCCTGCAAGTTCAAGAACTCCCCAGCCAAGTGCTGACACACAACAACAGCGAGCAGGGGGAGGAGTGCGGGGCAGGGAAGGGAAGGAAAGCTAGAAAGGAGAAGCTGGTGCAGTCGTCCTCCTTAGGAACCAGCGCCCGTGGGACGCGTGGCCCCGCGCGGGCCGGCTCCGGGACTCCGGGGGCGAGGGTCGGGCGCTCCGCGCTAGCTCCGCTGCGGCCCATGGCTCGGAGCAGCCATCCTGGGCGACGCCGGGTCCGGGGAAGGGCACGGCGGCGATCTCGGTGCCAGGCGAGTTGCCCCCCAGCATCACTCTGCCTTACTCCAATGCACCCCCATTCGCGCTCGCCAGTCGAAAGCACCGAGGCTCAGGCGCCCCGTCGTCCTCGGGCTCATTCTTCGGCGAGTCTAGCCGAGTCCCGGGCCGCCGAGGTGGGTGACTGTGCTCTCCCCTCGTTCTCCCAGCCCTGGGGGCCAAGAGCCCTTTGTGGCTAGCCTGGGGTCCGATCACACCTCGGCCGGCGCGTCCCAGGCCCCCGATCTCCGGCAGGAGGTGCTCCGCATCGCGGCGCTCGGGTTCGGCTCCAGAGTCCCCGGCGCCCTGAGCGCCCGTCCGCGGCTCTGGCGCAGCCCGGGCAGCCGAGGCCACGGCGCTGTGGCGCGCTCGGCCGGGTGCTCAAGCCCGCGCGGGGTCTGCGACTCGCGGGTGCCTCGCGCCCCCCGGGTGATCTGCGCGGCGCTGGCCCCGAGAGCGTTAGGGTCGCTGGCGGACGCTGTGGCGGTCGACGTGCAGCGGCGGCTGCCAGTCCCCAGCGGGGTGTGGGAAGCGGAGCGACTAGCGCAGTGCGAGCCGGGCGCAGCGCGGCAGGGCGAGGACTCCGGCGGCGACGGCGGCGGCGGCGCTGTGGCGCGGCGCTCGCGGCTTTTAAAGGGGACGCCGCCAGCAGGCTCCCTCCCGGCCTCCGCCGAACACCTCCCCCTCGGCGGCGCGGGCCGGGGATCCCCGAGCGGGCGGGAGCTGCGCGCAGGGGTGTGGACGGCGCGCCCGGGCAGCCGCGGCGGGGTGAGGCAGAGGGCGGGGGCGTGCGGCCGCCTAGGCGGGCGCTCGCGCCTCCACCCCCTGCCCTCAAAGGAGAGATCAGCTGGCGCGCCGGACCCTCGGGGGACTCTGAAGGCGAAATCCAGGACAAACGCAGGGTCAGGGTCTGGCCTCTATTTCCCCTCTGGGCCCGTTATTCAACTTTCAGTTTGAAGTTTTTCGGTAATACACGATTTCAAAAAGTAAAACAGGACACCTCAATTGCAGCGCATTTTGGCATAGCGTAGACGTGGGATCCACACTTCTGTTTCCCTGGAACAGGAGGAAAATTAAAAGAAACAGGAGGCTGGAAATTGAGTACTTTTAAACATTAATACATAGAGATGTATGTATTTACATATGTAAATGCATGTGTACAAATTTCCATTTACATAAATATGTGTATGCATTTATTTTCATATCCATGTACATGTAAATGTATGTTTATATAAATATATCCTTGTATCTTTGCGCCTCAGAGGCAGGCGATTAGCAGCTCAGAGGAAGGTAAAACAATGCATAGCGTGAACCAAGCATACAGGACAATTCCAGTCTGGGACCTTAGGACCTTCTACTCCACTCTCTTCCACCAGGCCCCCAAGAAGTAGAGCTGTGACACGTGGCCAAATCACTCCTCAGCTGAATATTCACTCAACTCACTCCTCAGCTGAAATATTCTCAGAGCTGCTGCACCGTGAGTCTGGGGCTAAGGGTTTCTACCCTTCCCAGGATTCCAGGAGCCCCCTTGCACAGCACCTCGGGGTTGCCCAAATGATCCCCAAAACCAAGGGCAGAAATTTTTGGTAAAGGCCAGGTTCTGCTTTCCCAGAGCTATTGGGCTTGCAAAACACAGAGAAAAAAGTCAGAATCGGGAGCTGGTAATAAAACTATTATCCATGTGTATTATTTTTTCGGTGGGGGAACTAAAATAATTCTAGGTTCCGCTCACGTAAATCGGATTAGCAACCCACAGAGGCGAATTAGGCACTTGCTGTTTCTAAAGGTATAAAGGTCAAATAAGGTATTTTGGAGGAAGCCTGCCTACCAGGAAAATAAAAGAGAGGTGGGGGGAGTTATTCAGGAACATGCTACTTTATTTCTTGCGCCCGGGGGGGGGGATTGGGGGGGACGGGGAAGGTGCTATAGAAATTGACTGTCACTCTAAGTCACTGGACAGCAAACAAGTAGCCAATAAAACATATTCTACATATAGACACAGTTTAAAAAGTATTTATTGGGCTTCTGAAACTACTTTTTTTCCTATCAAGTTTAATTGAGAAGTTAACTGTTGTTTCTGTCATTACTTAGATTTCAAAAACCAAACCAAACCTCTATGAGACTTCAATCAATAGGTAGCTTTTAAAGAGGAGGAAAAGTTGATAACTATTGAATGTCCCCGGAGAAAAAGTAAAAAATAAATGTCCTGTGATGACATCAAGGATGTCTTGCAGCTTTAGAACTTCGTAACTTGGTAAGTGGAAACCTTGTCAGTTTAGAATCTAAGGGAAAATGGGTAATTCCGAGCACTGTTTCATGGTGGTGTTGCCCATTGCAGAACCTCTTTTATGTAGGGTGTGTGACTTCTGAGGAACTACTGAATGCCTGTCCCAAGCACAACTTACCTAAATTTTGGCCCTATTTCTCTCAAAACCAAGGCTTCATTTTTTTTTTTTTTTTTAAGAGATGGCTGCCCTCTTGTGGTGAAAATGAATTCGAACGCTTGAAAGAAAGAAGTTCATAAATAAATAAATAATCTCCAAAGATTGTATTTGGGATGCGAAGTACAGGCTGACTGTATCTACCCATTTTCCAGGGAAGAGCGATAGGCAGAAATGATAAATCTAACTAGAGACGAACTATTTTTTTTTTCTCTTCACTAATGGCTACCTTCCACCTGCAATTTAGATTGCTGGGTTATTTAATACGTTGGGAGAGTGTCTGTTTGCCATGAAAATATCACTTGCTGCTAACCGTTGTTGATTCTACCTTTTTCAAAGGTTCATTCAAAGTTTTTCAGTTGAGAGGGTGACATTCATTCTTCCTGAGTTATCAGATTTGGTGTATCTGCCAGCAAATGTGGAGAGGGGCCGAGGTGGGAGTGGGGAGTTGTTAAGAAAGGGATAGAGGTTGCAAACTCAAATGCCTCAGAGGGTACAGACAAGTTATGTATAAAAGCAAAGATGACCAGATAATGATTCCACACTAAGGAGGTCGTTACTATTCCGTTTCAGTCACTTCTTGCCAGTTTCTCAAGAAACGGTGCGAATTTGCATTTGATTGTGTGTGGACAGAACTCGGGATGAAATGAAGTGTTTACAGTCACACTTTGGCAACTTTTACTTTAGCACTTCCGCTCACATGATATTCCATTGGACTGCATTCTGTAGCCATGGCGTTCAGCATTGTTCTTGCCAGGCCAAACATTCTGCAAATCAGTATTAAAATAGTCTTCTAAAGTGCGCAGCAGGCGTTACATGATCCATCTACCTTGTAATTGTCATTCCATGGAAACCTGTGATAACTGCCCTGAGAAATATGCTTTGCTTTTTAGCATACATATCGCTTTGTTACAAGTTTGACACCGGAAACCAGCCGTTCTTACTTACCTGGATGAAGTTTTTGTTGTTATTGTTTTGTTTTGTTTGTTTGTTTTGGGACTGAGTCTCACTCTTTCGCCTAGGCTTGAGTGCAGTGGCACAATCTCAGCTCACTGCAACCTCCGCCTCCCAAGTTCAAGTGATTCTCCTGTCTCCATCTTCTGAGTAGCTGGGATTACAGGCGTGCACCACCACACTTGACTAATTTTTGCATTTTGAGTAGAGAAGGTGTTTCGCCATATTGACCAGGCTGGCCTTGAACTGCTGACCTTGTAATCTGCCTGCCTTGGCCTCCCAAAGTGCTGAAATTACAGGTATGAACCACTGTGCTGGTGAATGAAGTTTTTATCACAAGAACTTGGAGCCAAGGCAAAAGAGAAGCATTTAGTCAATCAAATGTTTTCCTTTTGGGTGTTTGATTAGACATAGTAGAGAGGGTGGGAGAAGTGAAGTGATTTATATAGAAAATTAGACCAAGTTGGCCAACTCAGGATCACTGCTTTCAGCAAGTACCAATTACATCTTCTTAAAGATTAAGAAGAATGAATTTTGTGAATTGATTAGACTGACACACAGTTTAAGATGTACACATTAATTTATGTCTGTAATTGATCATAGTTCAAGACTTCGGAGTTGGGTGACCTTGGTTCTAATTCCTGGTTCTGCCATGGATGACTGACGTTAAAACCGTCATCTCGTCTGTTATTTGGGGTAAATATATGTTCACTTGCTTCAGACTGACATGATGAAGATCAAATGGACAACATGTGTGAACTTAGAGAGTTTCTGATTGCTACTCACTCTGTGTATCTTCAAACGTATTATTTGGCCTTCTGCCTGCAATAAGGCCTGGTTTTACGAGGGGACTTTGGATGCCTTTCTTCTCCTTCCCTTCTCCTTCTCCTCTCCTCCTTCTCCTCTTCTCCCAGCTTTTATTATATTGCCAAACAGTGGGTATTTCATCAGAAAGGTCACCACTTGGGTCAGCCAATCTAAAGCAGCTGTCCCCAAAAATTTTGACACCAGGGACTAGTTTTGTGTAAGAAAATTTTTCTACAGATTGGGTTCAGGGAGACGGTTTCAGAATGAAGCTGTTCCACATCAGATCATCAGGCATTACATTCTCATAAGGAACGTGCAACCTAGATCCCTCATATGCACAGCTCACAATAGGGTTTTAGCTCCTTGGAGAATCTAATGCTGCTGCTGATCTGATAGGAGGCAGGGCTCAGGCAGTCATGCTTCTTCACCTGCCCGTGGGGGTTCCTAATAGACCATGGACCAGTGCTGTTCATGGCCCTAGGGGTTGGGGACCCTGATCTAAGGAAATAACAAATTCTCATAGCCTCAGCTCCCTCATGAATACTGTGTAGAGACTACTAGTTGACCTCCTCTCATGGAGGTTGTGAAGAATAAATGAGAAGGCGTGTGTGAAGACAAAAGGCTGCAAATGTGTATCACTATATACACGCAAATTAAGGCCATCGGCTCTGGTTCTTCAAAGATGTGATTTTGTTTTATGGTATTTTCTTTTGCACTTGGTAGATTTCAAAAATATGGGTTGAATGAACACATGTTTCTGGAAAATAATTACAGTCTTCAAAATAAGACTCCCCTGTGGCTTTTTAGCATGAGTACCACTTTGTTACCAGTGCAACACCCAATATCCGGTTCCGATTACTTCACCTCCACGAAGGTGTTTCATGGGAACCGGAAGCCACAGCAAAAGAGCAGCATTTAGTCATTCAAACATTTACCTAGTTTGCGTTTGATTAGACATAATAGGAATGATGAGTGGAGTGGGGTAATTTATATGCAAAGCCAGGCCAATCGGCCAAGTATGATTGTTTTAAATCTCCACTACATATTATTTATCATATACCAATACATTTGCATACCTTGTCAATGATATTAAAATATTTTGACTTTCTGTTAATTAGACTGTCAAGAGTCAACCACAGTACTTCCTTCTAGATACCCAGTCTACAAATATTAATGAGCAGCTATGAAGCCCATGGCACTATGTCACTAGGTTCCAGTTAATACAAAGATACGTAATGTCTACACATAATTTAATTAGAATTCAATGGAAGAAATGCAGCATGTTTCCAGGTAAATAAATATAAAATATATGTGATATGAGATAAGAACTTTAAGAGGGTTGAGACACAATTGCTTCAGGTTTAACAAAGAGCAACTCATTTCTGAAATGTGGAACAAAAAAAAAAAAACCTTGCTCCGTGAGTGTCACTACCCTTATTTTACAGGTGAAGAAACTGTGCTTAGAAAGGTTAAGTCATTTTCTCAAAGCCACATGGCTAGCAAGTGGCAAAGCTTACACTAGACTCATATTTTGGGAGCTTTGGACTTCTCCCCCTTACTATGCCATGGTCTCTGAATTCATTCCCCCCGCCCCCCACCCCACTCACTATGCTATGGTTTCTCAATTCAAAGCCAAGACATCATGTGAAAAAAATTTAGGATGTTGTTTTGAGGAGTACAAAGAGGCAGTTCAGATTTGGAGGTGGGGTTGGATAGGGTTAAGACTATACTAGAAATTAAGTCTATTCCTTAGACCGAGCCCCAGGAGGAAAATGATGGAATATTCTAAAGGGCCAGTTGAAGGGGGTTGAACAAAGGAACATTATACAAAAATGTGGGCAGAATTGAGAGGAAGTGACTAGAGATCATGAAGTATCATGGCCCTACATTGGGAAGCCAAACCAGGAACACAGAGGGGCAGTTGCGAGAGCCCTAAGAAAGCCACAGTTGAAGGCAAGCCATTGGCAGAAGCCGGGGAGCTGGAAGGGCAAATAAGTATCTCCACCTTTCTTTTCTCTGACTCTCTGAACATTTGTGGACATCTCCCATTGGTCTATCTGAACCAGAAGAGCAAGTGTATTAGTTACCTATTGCTGTGTAATAAATGACCATAAACTTTGCGGCTTGATGCCCATTTTATTATCCTGGAGTTTTTGTGGGCCAGGAATGCAGAAAGAACTCAGTTTTCTTCTCAGGGTCTTGTAAGGCTGTAATCAGTTTTGACAGAGGCTGCAGTTTCGTACAAGCCTCAGGGTTCTCTTCCATGCTCTGGTGGTTGTTGGCAGAATTCACTTCCTTACAGCTGTAGAACTCATTCTTGGTTGCTTTTTTCATCAAGGCCAGCAGGAGACTGTCTTTCTGACTATTATACCCTATTTTAAAAGATTCACATAATTATAGTAAGCCTACCCAGGATAATTTATCTTTTGATTAACTCAAAGTCAACTGATTAGAAATCTTAATTACATCTGCAAAGTCCCTTCACTGTTACGTTATAACATATCCCAATAAGAGGGATAATATCTCATGATATACATAGATCCTTCTCATACTCAAGAGGAGGGAAGTATTCAGAACTTTTACACCGAATGCTCAGACTCTCAGTCTATGCAGCCTATAGGCATTAGCCTCTAAGGCACAGAGGAAGAAAAAGAGTTGGTCTCCTTATGTTGTGGATCTCCAGGTACAAAATGAGAATATCCTACCGAGTAAGATTTGAACAGTGGCAGACTACAGGATTTTAACTCTTGTTTCCTACTCCAAAGAGTTTGTATTCTATTCTATATAAATGCATCACTGTGAAATGTTTTTACTAGAGGAATGACATGTTGGAGATGCAAGTTACAAAACAAATTTCGTATTTGGTAGAGTGTAACAGTGCAGTGGCAGTGTTGGAAGCATAGAGACTGTAGATAATGGAACCAGTCCCTAGCTTTTGTAATGCTGCTCAGAAGTGGTAATGGGGTCTAATATCCACATGAAAAATAAGTCAGTGTCAAAGCTATAATGGAGATGGGACAAGCAAGGTGTGGCTTGTGGATGGGCAGGAGAGTTTTGCAGGGGGAAGGAATCAACAATATCTGTAGAGTTTGGAGCCCAGGTGAAACAAACAAGAACAAAAACTAGTGGGGCCCTTAACAGAGAGAAGTATGAGCAAGAGCCTGATGAGAGACTCAGGGATAGTTCTTTCTGGAAGTACCTAGAAAGTTCTGGTTAAATATCCTCAGGAAGTTCTTCTAGAGTGATAATTAGGCATTGGCCTGGGGTTCAGGAGAAGGATTAGGGAATTGAGTTATAGATTTCTGAGCTAAGACTTAACCATCTGAGAAGGAAAAAAATTGCCAAGGAAGTGCATAGAAGATGTTACGGAACAAGTGTTCAGAAAAAGAAAAAACAGATAATGGTGATTTGTCCTAGAATTAATAAGGGAGCAGTTTTCAAAAGAAGAAGCTGATCTGCAGTCTCAAATGACGGTGAAGAGTGTGGAACAAATAGATGAAGAGTTCACAGTTCCTTGGTGAGGTTTCTAGATTGCAGATCTAGAAGAGTGAAGTGGAGGGAGGCTAGTGGGATTGACGTGGGAGTGGAAGGAAAGGAAGCTGAGTCACAGTGGGAAGTAACTTTGGGGGATAATCTGGCTGTTTAAAAAGTAATTCAGATGATGACTGAAGCTAGGATCAAAAGAAAGACTTTAAAAAATTGAATGTGAACATGACTGACACTTGTAGGAACGAGCTGACTTAGAAGAACTCAAGTTTTCACATGAACAATAAATCTGATCAATCCCTCACTATATAACCCTTTGGGCTCATCTGGCAAATGTTCTCAATTTCTTCAATATAATAGCCAGGATTCTTCATCCTCAAATGGATCTTTGAAATCAGCCCTTGTGGTAGAAGCCCACAAGCCCCTTGTCGTATTGCCTAGAAGATATTTGCTCAAATGTGGACACCTCTGAGACTTTTCCTCTTTAGTAACTCATTCTCAAGATAACTTGCTTCCCAGCATATCACCTGAAACCCCCAGCGTTTCTGTTTCCTGCTCAATTGCCCACCAACCTGGGACAGAGCTAGCTATGCAGAGGTGATTTTTCGCAAATGAGGCAGACCTAAGGTCTTACCCATAACCGCTTGCTGGGGGGTTCCTCTTCATTTGAACTGAACGGTGATCTGTTGGAAACTCGTCACTTCCAACCCAGAACACAGCTTTTCAGAGTTCACTCTGAAAGAGGATGGGAGTGAAAATCTAAGCACTGCAAAGGCAAAGAATTTCTGTGGAGTTGAAGGATACCTGGAAAACTATTTTCTCTTCCAATCCAGGACACCAGTTATTGTATGTGTGTAGGGCTTTGAATGGAAAGCTAATAGAAAATAGCATGAATGGGCGAGTGCATTTCTAGTGAGATGAAAGTAGGAAAATAAGATCTTGTTTCTGTCTGAGCTGATCTTCAGGAAATCCCCAATGTCGCTCCTCCACACCCAGCTATCTTCACCTCATTTATTTCCCAAGGGTAGCTGCTAACACAGCAAGAACAGGCTTTTTCTATCTCCTGCACATGACATTCATATTCACCCTGGTGACTTCTACGCATGTCCTTTATCGCCCTTTGAGCCACGGTCATTTTCTACAACAGTCTCAATGCTATTGTTTCTTTCCATTTTGCTTCGTGAATAAAGAGACCCAATAATCTGTCATACAAACAGATAGGTTTCTTTGAGAGTGAAATGTGAAGATATGAATATGCTGGAATAATAGGGGTAAACAAGAACTGTCCCAGGCCCACGAGACCTGGGGTCACTCCAGAAAGCCTTCCCTGAGGTTTCCAGATCTCAGCTCTTTCCCTTCTCTGAAATCCCACTCTATTTTCTGTCTGTGTAACTTTTAACACTATTTCTTGTCTGTCTTAGAGCGTTCTCACCTATCCTTTCCCCTGCTACACTTACCTGTAATTGTCTTAATTTCTTAAACTTTCTTTTGTATGACTCGGTAGTACCTATTAGAGTGATAAATCTCAGTAAATTCTTATAAATGCTTTTAAGTTTGATTCAACTTACTGGGTGCATTGAAATATTTTATCTTTTTTATTTTCAAAACATTAATTTGAATAATTAAGGGTTACTGGGGGCTAAGTGCAAATAAGATAGGTCTCCTCCTTGACTGTAAGCTGCTTGAGGTCAGACATGTTTATTAAGAAAGTAAAAATAATTGTTGGTTATTTCCAAGTGCCCTCAAGTTTTTAAAAGATTTTAAATGCAGGATTCGAAAAAGATCAATTGTATCACAGAAAACCAGTTGACAAATGAAACTTTGATTATTGACATAACTGTTCGAGTTACTTCTTCTTTATGATTGATTCCCCCAGATTTATATTTCTCTCCAATAAATAAACAATAAATTCAAGAGCAGAGAAGTTGATCCAAGTTATAAAAGAAAGTAAAAAGGAGGCATTATCAGTAGGTGAAAAGTGTCTCCAAATAGTACATTAAACGGTTAAAGTCATCTTGAGAACTTTAACAAAATGAACAAAGAGTTCATATATGAGCTTTGCTGGAGAATTTCTGTGTGGTCATTGATTCTTTACAAGACAAAATCTTCCAGGAGAATAGTATATTTGTAAGTTTTAATCAATGCCTATGGGTTTGTCATTTACTTATTTGCATATTTCTGTGCCGTTCACAGCTTTTTGGGCCACACAAAGCCTAGCAGCATGGCAGTTATCTCTGAACTGTCAGTCATGTGCGTCTCCCCATAGGGCCTTAATGGGATCAATGGTAAATTGTAAATTATTTTCATCTTGGTTACCTGTTAATCCAGGTGAGATAACTTTGCAAAGGCATAAAGGGTTTGAGGGTAATGACTTTAGGATTGTGATTACAACATACTCAGATTGAACAACAGAAACCCAAGAGAATCCCTTTGATGGTGATTTTTAGTGGATATGCTCACCCTGGACATATTTCACAGATTGTCTTAATGGGAAACAAAAGATTCGGCTCCTTGCCCTAATTAATAATGAATTGAGCAAATAGTCTGAGGTATATGTGAGCTGAGCGATTTTGAGAAATATTGTATTTCATCCTCTTATATTTACTCTGTAGTTGACCACCCAGTGACACCGAAGACCAAATGTAGCTGCCATGTCAAAGTCTACCACAGCCCGCTCAGCCCTGAGGCCCCAGTGCACACCTGATTGCCAACTAAGGGCTTTTCCCACCGAATGCACTTTATTCTCCCCACATGTGCTGCTGGCCAGATGCCCTTGGGAATTAATACCTCCCAGGAGCAACCCTCAATCAATGACCAATGGAAGTTAGCATCTGAATACCCCATCTGCCTCTAAGAGGGGTAATTCCGAGGTGCATAATCTGAACTGACTCTGTTCCAGCCAGCTACAGTCATAACTGGCTTAAGAACGCATCCTTCATAGGCTGCATTCCCTTCCCTACCTCACCTTCCCATTCTCCTAATCGTGTTTTCTTCGCCTCCCTCTAACTTACTTGTACTTGAACTTTCGTCATCCAGCGAGCTTCTGGAGGAACCCAAAATGAACACCGGAGTCTCTGTTGACCTGGGATAGTGCCTATCAAAATGGCTTTGAATTTAAATTGAATGGCACTTTGCCATGAATGAAATAAGCCTATCGGCTTTGGAGACCTATTTCTTACTGCACTTGCTTCATTTATTCATTCAATGACTTTTACTATTTCAAGCACTGCTAAGTTGCCGGAGCTACAAAGATGAATATGGTGATTTATACAAATTAAGGAAACAGAAGTTTATACAAGGTACAGAAACTGAACCAAGAATAGAGTTAACACCTACAGCTGAAGTTCAGAAAAGGTTTCCTGGGAGGACATAGCACTTGAGTTGGATCATAAAAACTGAGCAGGTGTTGGGCAGATAGACAAGGTGGAGGGAGGGAATTCCAGGCAGGAGGAACAGCAGGGGTAAAGGCAGAAAAGCATGAAACATCAAGATGCATTAAATAAATGATCAGCAACTTAGTATGACTGCACAGAAGAGGAGAAAGGGGTGCCAATATTTTGCTGGGAAAAGGAATCTGGACTTTTCCCCGTAGGATCTACTTTGCTTTTGAGAAAATCTCTTTGGTGGGAGTGGGCATGATGGCTTGGATTACAGCCAGATTACAGGCAGAAGGACAAATTGAAAGGCTGTTATTAATTGTTTAAGCAAGAGATAGAGAGTCCTTGCACTCAGCAGAAGCATGGGGTGAAGGAGAGGACTACGGGAGATTGAAATGGTAAGATCTGGTGGAACTTAATGGTCCATGAGGAATAAAAAAGGAGTTGAAATGACAGCATAGAAAATACAGAAGCAGGAACATGCTCTACTTCAAATGCATAGAGATTGA